TTTTTTTTTTATTACATAAGTACCTCTATTCCCTACAGAAATTCCTAGCCTTTCAGGGACTTCAGTGCATGGTTGTTTAGTTCATTGCTTTGGGCCTGCTGTGACACAGAACATCATGGAGGGAACATGTGGCAGCTGAGAAGGAAGAAAGAGGAAGAGACTGGAGTCCCACAGTCCTCTTCCTGGGCAGTGACTCGGCTTCTTCCCACAAGGCCCCACCTCTCTGGTGCCCACAGGCCATCAACCACCGGCCCTTGAAGGACACTTACCTAACCCCAGGCAGGCAGCAGCTGCAGAGAGGGCCCTAGCATCGCAGGTGTGCTGGGCAGGGGTCCTGTCCTTGACCCGGATCCTCCATCCCAAGGCCCCAAGGGATCTCTGCACGGGGACCCCAGCTGACACCTCGCTCTGTGGTGGAGAGTTCTTGGTCCTGAGCAAGTCTAAAACCTGCCGGGGCACGCAACAGCAGCATTTAGGCTCAACAGTATCCACTGTAGCATGATTCTATGCGCCAAGCCCCAAGGGCGGCCCACCTTCCAGAAACACTGGCTGACAGTGGTGGCGTCTCTGCCCCCGTGTTTCTGTGCCGAGGTCCTGCCCATGGCTGCTCCCTGGTGGCCACAGCCCCCCAGTGGCTCTGTGTTCAAGTACCGAGCTGCCCCAACCCTGTGCTGAACCATGCGCCAGCAGCTGCACTGGGCTGCAGTCTTGGGGCAGCTCTGCCTCCACAACTCGGTGGGGCATTGCCCTTGCAGGAAGGCTCCCCGTGGCCATGTTCATGCCAGCCACGCTATGACACTGAAGGAAGGTGCACACCTGGCGGTTCCTTCCAGCAGCCCACCATCAGCCAGCTGAGGCTCCCACTGCTATCCACGCCCTCTCCTGTCACAAGGCCAGACCTGCATTATGACCCCAAGGCTCCCACTCATACTGCTCTCCTCCTTCGGGAGCATTCCTGCCACCAAGTCTCCTGTACTTTTCCTTCCCCTTTGGGGCTGCTTCCCAGAGGGCCCCAACCAGTGCCCGTTTCTCCCCCTTCTGTATTCCGCAATTCCCTCCCTGAGTCATGTGCTGAATCCCTGCCCCAGTGTGATGGCATCAGGTGGGGGGCCCTGGGGTGACTAGGTCAGCAGTGTGCCTCTTCCCCAGTGAGGCAACAGTGCAAAGGCCCCCCTGGGAGGGCCTGCTGGGAAATGATCTCAGACTTCCGGCCTTCAGCATTGTGAAAAGAAAGCTTCTGCTCTTTATCACCTTCCGGGCTATAAAAGGTCTGGAAAGCTAAGGAAATTGGAAGCGGCAGGGTAGGGGGTGCTGTGATAAGACTCCAAAATGGAGAAGCAGCTCTGGGGCAGGATGGTGGGTAGAGGCTGGCAGGGCTTTCAGGAGCACACAGACCCTAATTTGCCACAGTCAGACCTTTGCTGAAGAAAAAAGCGAGTCAATGATACTTGTTAAAAACTACAAGGCCAGCTGCTCAGGATCATAGTGACAGGCATGGGACCACAGTGAGGGGCTGCAGCTGGGGACAGACGACAGCTCTATACCCCAGATGGCAGAGCACGAGGGAAATCAGGCCCAGGGCAGGGGAGGTCAGTGCTTAGACAGCAATTAAGAGGAGGCACCCAAGGTGAGAGGAAAGTCTGGCTACACTGACCTGGCTTCTTGCTGGAGAAAGATTGGAGCAGTCACTCGCACCTGGGGGCAATGGAGGGTGAAAACCTTAATGAGATATGGAGGGTGATCAGATATGGAGGCTGGAGACATCCTCCAGATCCCTGACGTAACAGGGATCTTGCTAAAACCAGACTGCTAGGGCCAGGGAGATGGCTCAGTAGAACAAGCACTTGCCTGGAAAGAACAAGGGCCTGAGTTCAATCCCTAAAAAAAAAAAAAAAAAAAAAAAAAACAGACTGATGAAGGAAGAGCCTGAAAAGGCCCAGGAGAAGGTATGGAGCCTGATGAAAGTTTAGTCAAAGAATCTTTGTCACATCAAAGGATGATCTTGGTGCACACACAGAAAGAAATGAGGGTTCCTGTAGAGAATTCTCCTTGGAGAATACTAAGTGGTCGTGACTGGAATGTTAGTAGACACATGGACAGGGGCTGGGGCTGGAGCTCCAAGGTAAGGTAGAGAGCTTGCTGAGCAGGTGAAGACTCCCTGGGCTCAATCCCTAGCTTTAAAAAGGAGAAGGAAAGGAAGAAAAGAGAAGAAAAATGAACACAGACCATGGTGAAGAGGGCTCAAATGCAGAGAAGAGCAAGGACTGGAGGAAAGACCATTGGCATTCTAACATGAAGAACTTGGCCTAAATGTATTTCTGTCTTAGAATTTTCTGGCAGGAGGAGTTAATAAGCAAAGTCATTGGTATTTTGGGGAAGAAATTACTAAAGTATTCAAAGTGTGGTTGGCACTCTCAAATGTTTATAATAAAATATAACAAGGGAAAATGATTTAAAGATGGAACTTTTATTTAAAAAGAAAGCAGGGGCAAGTGTGGAGGTGAGCACATGGAAGCCTAGCACTTTGGGAGGCTGAGCCGAGACGACTGAAAGGTCAAACAAACCCAACCTGGGCAACTCAACAACATAATGAGACACTATCGAAATAAAAAAATAGGGGCTGGGGAGATGGCTCAGTAGAATAAGCCCTTCCCTGGCAAATGCAAGGGCCTGAGTTCAATCCCCGGTTCCGCCAAAAAAAAAAAAGAAAAAGAAAAAGAAAAAAGCACTTCACGGTCCTTGTCTCTGTCCAGGAAGTTTATATAATTCCAAGGATAAATTATTGGAATTCCATCAGATTAATTATATTCTACCACTTCCAGTGCATCCTACAGCAAGAGAAAAGATACTAAAGCACATTTATAGTTATGGGAGCCAAGGGGTCCTAAGTCCAGCCATGGTGATGGCTATCCAGAACAAAGGCCTCAACCCAGAGCCAAACAAAAGTAGGTTTTATTCAGTCATGAAGGAGTAGTGGCTTGAGGATGAATGACTGAGAAAGGCAGGAAGTAGTTCAGTACTGTGAGCTGGGCCAAGTAGGAGGCCTGTACTTACCTCTGCAGTATGCAGACAGAAGGATATGAAGAGAGGAATCTGCATTACACAACTGAGATAGTATCTAATGTTTTGGGGTCAGTGCGTCAGCTCTGATATGTAATCTTTCAAGCCCCAGGAAGTCATAGCCACTATCTCAAGGCTTGACCCCAGCCGATGGAGTGCAGCACTGATTCTTTTTTTTTGTGGAACCGGGGATTGAACTCAGGCCCTTGTGCTTGCCAGGGAAGTGCTTATTCCACTGAGCCATCTCCCCGGCACCAAGCACTGATTCTTGATCCTATCTTGACCCAACAGATGAGGGTACCGGGGAAACACATGTTGTCTTCAAAGACTACCACCAGTACCTCAGCTAGAATGATATGCACTGCTTAAGGCCAACTGAAGGGATAAGGAAAATTCCCAGCCAGCTCTGTAACCTATCAATACATGGAAATAGGATCAGGCACAGCCACAGTGGAGATAACTGCTCCTCTTTCAAGGAGAGTCCCCCCAGTGGTCCTCCATAAAGGCCCCTGGTTCAATCCCCAATAGAAAGAAACAAAGTTGCCCAGGATCACATGGTCTAAGCACTCTGCAGCTGAGCTCCAGGGCATAGAGCTGTCTTGCTGTGGTCTCAAGGTCTATGACTGTGGGAAGAACCTCCTTGAGGAGCTCATTAAAGGAAGAACCTGAAAGGCAGAGCCAGGCATCTGCCAAGTGCCAGCCAAGGGGCAGAGGGAGGGCAAGTGCCCTATTTGCCTGTCCTTAAGGGCAATGCGTCCCTGGCCCTGCCACACTCTTGTGCAACAAGCCTCATTGAAGGACAGAGAAAGACAAACAGGCACCAAATAGACTCCCGCTCTCCTCTCCCAGCCTCAGAAGGTAAAAATGTAGCATTTCATACAGCACTTCCTGGGTTTCTGTTTATTCACATGTTGTCCCCCTTGGAACCTGTTTGTGTTGCCTGCTTGGCACCCACTCACCACGTTTCCCATCCTCAAAGCTCTGCACCTGGCACCTCACCCCAGCACTCTACCATTCTGGGTTATATACAGGGAACCAGCGTGCTGCTTCTGGCCTGCAGTGTCAGAACTTGGAGGATCAGTTGCTGAGGAGTTTCCAGATCTTGAGACAGGAGCCAGCCTTCTGCAGCTCTACCCTCAGGAATCTGTGTCTCTCCAAACCTGTTTCTCACTGTCTTCCTCCTGGCCCTAGTGAAGACCACATGTGGGTACGGTTTGTTACCTTGGCACTCCTGAAACATGCAGGAGTAGGAATGCCAGCCCCTAATTCTGAGGTACGGGGCTGTGCGTGCATCTCGACAGGGACAGGCGCTCTTCCTGTGCAGAGCCCACCAGACAGGGGACACTCCTTCTGCATCACCCTGCTCCAAGCAGAGGGTTCTGTGGTCAGCAGCTGCTGAGGGGCGGCCCTTCCTGCTGGGCCACAGCATCCCGTCCTGGTGCCAGGGCCTGTCCCTGAGACCCATCATGGGGCACGCCAGAACTCAGCAGCACCTTGTACTCAAGGCCTTCTGCGCTTGGGCGGTAGCAGCACCAGCTCACCCCGGGACACTGGTCCTTATTCATTTGTGATCTCAGTGTGCTTTTAAAAGAATCCTACTTCTCTCAGCAGCTTGTAACTTATACCTGAAAAGTTTTCTAAAACCAAAAAGTGTCTCTAAAAGTTCTTATTCTCTTTCAAGTAGTAGTAAATAAGTACTAGTACTCAAGAGAAAACCCACCGCTCACCTTGGCTTCTCTGCCCTCTGCTGGTGAGTTTCACCCTTGAACAATTTGGAGAGCAAACAATCCCAAGTCCCCCTGGTCCCCAGTAGAGAAAGGACAAACCATCCCGTATCCCAGGACAGGGCCACTAGGGCAGTCGGACCGGCTTTCTCTTCTCCTCTTTGGGCTGCCAGATGTTGTTCATGCTTTATGTCCCCATAGAGACTCTACCCATAAGCTGGAATGCAAAAGGTCTAGAGCCACAAGGACAGCCTCATGTGGCTTG